TGTTAGAGATTTATAGAGATAGAAATAAATGGTTGTGCTTTAGTGAGATAAAAGTGACGTAAATTTATTGAAATAAAAATAAAACTGATAAAGTTTGTTTCTGGAGTTAAACAACGAGTCAAAACGTTTTCTGTTTCTCTTCAGTTATTTGCATTATTTTTCCTTCAGTTTCTGGTTTAAAAAATGAGGTCACTGTTTGACCTTGTAAATCTGTGACCCTGCAGTGGAAAACAAACCAGATGGAAAAAGTATTTTTCTTTAAGTGTCATTAAACTTCAAAGGATAATGATGCAATCCGTCTGCAGGAGCTTCTCAGAGCCACACAGGAACTGAGCTGCAGGAAAACAGCAGCAGCAGCAAGATTTCAGCCTAAAATAAGATTCGACTCAATGCTGGAGCTTTAAAGACGCCCTGCTGGAAGAAAAACACACACACATGCTCTGGTTTTATTTATTTACAGGGATTTTTACTTTTCTGTCATCGTTTGAACATAAAATATTAATGTCCGCTGATAGTTTAAAGAAGAGTTTCATAGTTTTAAAAACACTCATATTTGCTTTATTTCAAACAATCAATAAAACATTTATTAAAATCAAAGTATTTTAGACAAACTTTTTTATGTTGCTAAATTTAACAAATAAGAGGTGATTTTTGCATCAAAATTTAAAAAGAGATTTATTTATTTTTAGATACACAAACCAGAAACTTGTGAAACTTAATTTTTTCTAATTCTTAATTTTTAAATTAACGCTTCAGACCATCTTATTAAGGTTTTGTGTTATTTTCATTTTTCATTTTAAAGTAAATAAAAAAAGAGAATATTTATCAGAGCATAAAATCATGACAAGTTTGTTTGAATCATTTGATGAAGAAGAAAATTAAATCTATAAATTGAACATTTTTTCCCCTGAATTCTTCAAAAGTCATATTTGGAATAAAAAAGGTTTAAAAAGTTTTATTCTAAGAATAAAAACCAACGAAAAGCCAGAGAAAGGTGCAGAGGTTTGTATGAAAGTGAAGCCAGGAGCCGCTGCAACAAATCATTTCAGTTTTAAAACGCTCCTTCCTGTGTTTAATACCAGCCGGCCTTCAGGATGCTGAAATTGCAGAAAATTATTTTAAAATGAGAACCAGGCTGACGGACCCCTGTGATCTTATTCGTTTTTCTGTTGGGGGGGGGTCTGATTGTTGTGTTTCAGAAAATCTGTGTGTGTGTGTGTGTACCTGGTTTTCGTTAGCTGTTTAGGACCTGTCTTGTATAAACACGTATCTCGTCAGGACCAGTAGTCCTTTTAAAGGCCAAAGAGTGGTCCTAATATGGTGGGCGGGGGGGTCAGGGTCAGGACCGGGGTGCTGAGTTCAGAGAGGAGGAACAAAGTAAAGTCAGGTAAAGTTTCAGGTTCAGGTTTTTATCTGCAGATTTTAATCATTAGACACAAACAGCTCCTCTGTGGATCATCAACCTGTTTATTCTGTAAACAAACAAACTTATTAAACCATCGATTTGAGAAAAAACATTCTCAGATTTTATTTTAACTTTAAAGTTTCATGGTTTTTACCACCGGTAATCTCTATGACTGCAGTTGTGAACAGAGTTGTTGAAAGATTCGTTTTAATTTTCTTTTATTTGTTTTTAAAGCATTAACCTCACTGAGCTGCTGCGCCCCTAAAGCCCCTCCTGTTCTCTGAGGTCAGCAGACCACCTGCTCCTCCTCAGAACCCCCAAAACGAACCGTAAGCTTCGAGGAGCTCGTGTTTCCTCCTCTGCTGCTCCTGAACTGTGGAGCAACCTGCAGACAGGCCACGTCCCTGTCAGCTGGTGAAACATCTCCTCTCTTTGGCTTTTATCTGACATGTTGACAGTTTGTTTAGAGATTATTTTAGTTTGTTTTAATTGCTTTTATGTGTTTTATTGTTTAGTTTTAATTTTTGGATTTGGCTTTTATTATGTACTGTGACTGTTGTGTGTTTTACTGTGCAGCGCTTTGGTCCTGTGGTTGTTTAAGTGCTTTATAAATAACGTTGGTATGGAATAAGAATAAAAATAAAAATAATAAGAAGAATAAAAATAAGAGTAATATGATTAATAAGATTAATAATGATAATAATAAGAATAATTAGATAAATAATAATAATAATAAGAATGACAATAAGAAGAATAAGATTAATAAGAATAACAAAGATAATACAAATAAGAAGAATAAGAAGAAGAAGAATAAAAATAAGACTAAGAATAATAAGATTAATAAGAATATTGAGAATGATGAGAATAATGACAATGAGAATAATAATAAGAAAAATGAGTATAGAAGGATAAAAATAAGACAAATGAGGATGAGAAGAATGAGAATAATAAGATTAATAAGACTAAGAAAAATAATACCAATAAGAATAAAAAGATGATGCTCCAAACTTATTTGGATCATTTTACCTGATAGTTGATTTCAGCCATGATGATTTTTTAAATAAATAAAATGTTTTAAACTGATTGATTATATCATTAAGTTTATGTAAAAATGTATACGCAGAACAAAACATTATCTTAGTTGTGAGTTTACCTTTTTTATCCATTTGGACACAAAGAATAATAAAGAAACAGGTTTTACTGATCTGCTGTTTATTATTTTATTGAGTCCAAATGGATAAAAAGGAAAACTGTATTTTTACATAAACTTATTACTTCCCTATTATTTAATCATTAAAATACTTACACATCTTTTTTAATAATTTCATGTTTTATAT